GAGACAGCGTCGGCTGCTAGCTTGCTGTCTTGAGGTTTTCCCATGTTTCTGACGGGTGATTGCACGAGACCTTTGTGGGTGGAGTCGGTGACACTTACGTACCTAAGGTAATCACAAGAAACTAGGCTAGATGATCACGACAAATTGTTGACTTGTAGGAGAAGGCAATGAATTGTCAGGTGAGGCTGAACTTCTGCAGGCCTGAGATTTGAAGGAAATACGATAGTGACCTGATTGGGGGGGAGGACCTTGTGGGGCATTTCTAGGCACCTATCGCCACTTACATAATAACATTTAAACCCCTGTATTAGACCTGAATGGGCCCTGTCTACTTCGGAACTGCCCCTGTTTTTAAGCAATAACCTTTCTTTAATACCAAATCTCTAACAGGTTATTCCGTATACCAGTTCGGTAATCTAAGCCTTCTTCTAAGTGATACATATCTCATGAAATGGCAAACTATCAAATAGACTCTTCCTTGAAGCTATTCCCGTCTCTGTTTCCGCAGTTTCAACTGGTACGTTATCGGGTTTTTGAAATTCAAACATTCCAATGCGGACATAGCAGTCTGTTCCGAGTATTCGAGTTACGATGAGGCCCGCAGGAGAGACGGCCTTCTTGTAAAAGGGGATCAGCTCTACAAGAAGCACATCGCCTTTTTCTTGGATGCCTTTACGGACGATCTGTGTTCTTTCTCTCGTATCCGGACTTAGCACAAGAATAGTTTTTCCAGAGTCCATCCGCTGGTTTTCGTGATGTCGTTCCGTTGATACCACGTAGTTAAACCCGCCAATCGAGTTGATGTTCCGAGTCCTCGTGTAGATCTTCACAAATCCTTCTCTAACGGTACCGAATGGTGCTAATCTGTTCTCAAGCTCGATTCCATACTGGCAGAGGCGCTGCTCGTCACTACGCTGCTCGTCAGTACTAGTCAAGTCATACGGGCCGGGCCATCCCCATGCCCAACCCAATACGGCACCGTCCACCGAAGACCAACTCCAAGATGGTCCCCGGCCAGGAACATGTTTTGTTTCTTCCGTCTGGGTGACTACCCAAAGGAACTCTGCGCACCAGGCATAGCTTTCGAGTTCTGAGCTGTCCAGCATAAGACCCGCAAGATACCATAGTTCTTGACTACGTTCCCTTGCCATGTTGCTAAGGCGCGAAGCCATGGCAGCAACAGCCGGAAGTTTGTCTGTAGCGAATCCCAGATACCGCTTCGAGTATTCCTGAACAACTACCTTCCATATGGTCCTAAGCGGGTAGCTTCGCAGTCCAGAGAATGTGTGTATGCCGACAGCTCGAGACTCGTAGCTGGTCATCACGCGGGGTGTCAACATTGGCTCGAGGCCGCCGCAGCTAGCATTAGCCACATTGCAGGTAAAGTATAGTTGGCGTGATGAGAATATAAGGATACGTCTCGAGAGTAGGGATTCTTGGAGCGTCCAACCCCTTGTAGCAATGGGCTGCAGGTGTCTCTTTTGATTGAAGTCGTCGTCTAGAATCAACGCCTGAACCGTGCCAGACGCACCAGTGGACGTAGTACATCGTAACTGTATTGGACCGACGCTGTAATCTGCGGCATCCTCCTCGCGCGACGAAAGAAAGCCGTCCGAACATCTAGCTGCCGAGGCGGCGCAGATTGTGACCGTGTTGTGGCTATAATACAGCTCCATGCGGGAGAGTTCGCGGATCTTGTCGTCGGGATCGTCTTGCAAGATGCAAAGAGCGTCGATCCAGAGATATTCCAATCCCATCTCATTCGTGAGCCATGCCGCGTCTCGTAGGGTCTTTGGCAAGCATGATATTGGAACACCATCTGCAAGATTGCCAATGCTATCGTAGGTTAGCTGTACTGGCTGCGGCCCTCCCCAACAGTACGACAGAATCGCAAACCCCCGTTGCGTCACATCATCCTTTGGAATCTCCGATGCAATATCTCTGCCGATAATCGCAACGTGAAGTACTGAGTCCTTTGTGAAAAGATGTATGAGTCTAGAGGGGATAGATTTGGTGTCAATTAGTTCTACACCCTGGGTATCATTCTCTTCATTTGCTAATCGTCTACATTCGCTGTGGTCGGACTGACACGATTTAACACAATTGCGGGCAAAGTCTACAATGGCAGGAGAGTTGTAGTTTAGTTCACAAGGTCGAGTAGTGACATCAGCCGAAGCGGGATCATCTATACACGTGTAAGTCTATAAATGAATAGATGTGGGAAGCTTTCATTACCTACCTTCATATGCCCAAACTCTCAATCGCATCGTATGATAGATATTATCTTTTTCCTTCGCTGCCACGCTAACGCTAAGCACGACCGACGCAGTCAAATAAGGCAATTCCTCTTTCTCGTATCGCACTGTAAATGTCCAGCCATCGCGGTCGATGAAACCGGCATCCAGATGAGCTTCCTTCCTGATTTCGTCAAGACAAGCCCGGAACAACGGGCAGCCATCATTATCGGCAGCGATCGCCTCCCGACTCCCGCAGCGGAACTGAGGTGCACTGCTGTGATCTATCGCAGTCTCGCCTCGTCTGAGATCGAGAGTGATCTGACTACAATGCTCGCAGGAGTGAGGGGCTTTAGACGTGAAGGGCATTAGCGGATCGAGTCCGCGGCTTTGCGTAGGACTCATCCCAGGAAGAAAAGAGACAAAACTTGACAGCGGTGGTGTAATTTAGGTAGTTGGCTGGCAGTAAAGGTTTTCAGTAAGCCCTAAAATCATCAGCCGCTTCTTCGAAACCTCTCACAGCTTGATAACGCCTTGGAGAAGCGAAGCACTACTAGAGCTGAGGGGAAGGGTCCCATTTGTTCGACCAATAAGACGTCGTATTCCTGTGATCTGTCAGCCAGGCCCAAGGCGTGCATAATCACAGCTGTGACGTCTCGAAGCAAATAGCTTCTCATAAGATACAACCGTACGTACCAGATACGGACGAGCGAGTCCTCCGCTCGGCAAGGGCTTGGGTGGAAACTATCCGAAGGATTTACGATGGCCCCGTCGTACGCGCGTCCTCGACTAAGAATCGTCCCTCAGCCCACAATAGAAAGACCGCGGCACCTCTTTCCGATGGCTGATCTATGATGTGTGATGTGTATATAAGGGTCTTCGGAGATGCGTTTGCTATCTCTAACATCCAGGAGTATAATTGAACTTAAGCAAGCCTCTCAAATACCCGTGTAATACTAGGAATTGCCCTCATCAATTTTCATCATTAGTACCAGTCGCTTCTGATCATCAGCGTCACCATGTCTTCCTCCAACGAAACAGTGGTTGACGGCGTCCACCGTCTCGGTCCCACGGGAATATCCATTCTCATTGTCGGAGCAGGTGTCGGGGGTATGATGACGGCGCTCGAGTCGTGGCGTCAGGGTCACGACGTCCGCATACTCGAGCGAAACCCGAAACTCGACACGATAGGTACCTACCCAGCACACCGTCTATCTACTAACATATGACCAATGCACTAATTCCCGCGAGCTTAAGGCGACTGCTTCAGCATCCTACCACCGGCATGGACCACGCTCCGCTTCTTCCCCAAGATGAAGGAGCAGTTCGAGCGCGAATCCTACGACATCGAGTGGAGCTTCTGGCGGTACGAGGGTCGACGCATCATCCACCTAGGCGAGGCCGAGTGGAACAGGCCCGGCGCCTTGCACCAGGCTAAGGACGTCCGCGTCCCGTGGATCGAGACCCGGAGCAGCGTCGCCGATATGCTCGCGAGGCAGTGCGAGCGCCTCGGAATCCGGATCGAGTACGGTAACACGGCGGTCGCGTACGGTGAGGACGAGAGGGAAGGCGTCGTCACGGTCGCGAGGCCGGACGGAAGTATTAGTAAGGAAACAGCCGATATCGTGGTCGCGGCCGACGGCGTCGCGACGACCAGCCACGAGCACGTCACGGGGAGGAAGGTCAGGGCGGAAAGCAGCGGCTACGCTCTCTACCGGGGACTGATCCCGATGGATATCCTAAAGGCGAAGCTGGCTCCGGCCACGCAGGAGAAATTCTTTTCTTTTCCCCGGGGCGAGTTCCGGATTTACATGGCGTCAGTGTTCTAACAGCTACACTTTTATAGCAGCCTACAGTAGCTAACATACGTCCAGCCCCAACAGGCACGCCAACATCATCATCACAAGGGACTTCGTGTGCTACGTAATCACCTACAAGGTACGTCTTCCCGCACGATATTTCTGTTATGCAGTCGCTCACCATAAGCCCGTTAGGAGGACGGCAAATCCAAAGAATCCTGGAAATCCACCGTCTCCGCCGACGACGTCCTAAAGCGCCTCGACGAGACGCCCGGCTGGGACCCGGAGCTCGTCGACATCCTGCGGCTGATCCCGGAGGGCAGCTGCATCGACTGGACGCTGCTGTGGCGGGACCCGCAACCACAGTGGGCGTCGGCCGGGGGGCGCGTGGTCCAGCTCGGCGACAGCGCGCACTCGTTCCTTCCGACGTCGGGCAACGGCGCCTCGCAGGCGCTCGAGGACGCGCTGTCGCTCGCGGTGTGCCTGCGGCTCGCCGGGAAGGGTCGGGAGCAGGTCGCGACCAAAGTCCACAACGCGCTCCGCTTCGAGCGCGTGTCAGTGATTCAGAAGTTCGGGTTCGCTAACCGCCGGCTCATGCACCACGTCGACCTGGACGCGGCAGAGAAGCAACCAGAGCTCATCGCCCTGACAATGCCCGAGTGGATCTGGAGCCACGACCCGGCGCGGTATGCGATTGATAATTACGCCGCGGCCGAGGCGCACGTCACGAAGGGCGAGCGGTTTCAGAACACGAATGGGCCCCCGGGTTTGGCGTATGAGCCGTGGGATATCGCGTCGGAGATGGCGAAGGAGCCGCTGTTGGGTTAAGAACCCCCGTGAACCACTTTTTGGTTGGCGATATTGGTTTGGTTAAACGACCTGGCTCCACAGGATGCGCACTAAAAAAAGGAGGAAAAGAAAAATATTCGATGAGGTTAGAACACAAAATAAAAGAAATAGTCTAATCTGCCCAACACAGGAATCGAACCTGTTGCCTCCTCATTGCAATGCATCTTCAATCAAGTTACTAGTGAGGCGCTCTACCGATGAGCTAGTCGGGCCACATAGATGCAGGAATTGGGGCTGTCTGAAAGACAGACTCTACAGTCGGTATAAGTGCCAATGAACCAATGTTGACTTCAATAACAAAAATTTTCTTACAACATTTTGGAAGCATATTCTAGGTACCATGAAATCATAAACACTTGCATTCAACGCAACACTATAAAGTAAATAAACTGCAACTAATGTGAGTCCCTAATGAATGACATTCACGATTTATCAAGTAAAGACTAAAGATTTTGTCTACAGTTTCTGACTGTATCAATCTCATGAATTAATATTTCGCTATGTAATATGTTTAGAATCACCTCAATATTCAAATTTTGAAGTCGTCATGCTAATATGATACAGATATTTCATGTAGTCATAATTCTATATGTTTCTCTCTTTAAAGAGATGCCTAAGACTCTTAACTGGGTCTTAACTATCACATTGGTCACCACGTGCCTTCTTGTAGGTACCTAATATATGGCTTTTATTCTTCTCAAAGAGATTCTACTCATTTCCAACCTCGACATTTCGCGTGACACACACAGGTAAGAAGTTATACCTACCACAAATCCCGAAGACAATAACTCCCATTACATACCGAGATTTCTCCAGCGCGAAGCACACAAACCCATACATAAACATACGAGAACCCGCGGCTACACGGCTTATCTGCTACACCAAGAAGAACCCTACGAGAATTGGAACATGCAAACATCACGGGATAAAAAGGCCTGGGCCGCCCTGCTGTATCACGTAGCCGAGACGGGCAAGACGTCGCATCGAAACAGGTGTAACGGCAGTTGCATGACGGGCCAGTGCTATTATGTCACCGTACAGCCCCAGAGCTAATAGCCTGTTGGTCGTAGATGCCACGCCATTGTGTTCAAGATCGGATGGGGATGGGATAAGTTATTACCTAGCAGTGGGGAATGAGAGGTGTTGACCGGCTTCTGGATGAGACCGGGAAACTCGATGAAGATTACCGTATCTAGCGAGTGTACAGATGCAGAACCTACCCACATCCTATGGAAGAAATGGTATAAGCTCACACCCGAATACATAGACCAAACGACCGTAGTAGTTGCCATGGCTGGAATCTTAGCTCGGCGTGGGGGCCAAATAGTTATGATTGGTCAACACGTTCCTTCCTACCTCTTTTCTTTTGACGTCGTTTGGATCGCTGTCATATGCTTAGGATCTCTTTCTGGTCATCGGTGGCATTCTTCATAACGACAATAACGTTATGTAGTTTGTATATAGTCAACATCTAGAAGAGCCGTAAGGACTTACCGGTCTCGAGGCATCTCATCGTCTTCAAGTTTCAAGGCATTCAGAAACCCCCCATCTGATGCAAGTAGGTGAAGTCAAAGGGGGCTTGAAGCGGGGAGGAGGATATGATTAGCCCAGGTAGGACAGTGACCCGATGCGTTCATCCTTGAAGAGGGATCATTTAGGTATAAAGCCAACGGAATAGAGTCGACCTCTATCCGGGCTGGCCAGTCCTCTCATAGGCTCGTCATATGAATCCCCCAACGAGGTTGCGTCCAGAATGCATCCGACTTTGGTTGGGGTCTGGATATTAAACACCACATGCGATCGATCAGAGTTGGTTGGTGGAGGAGGGCATATTGGTCGAATTGGTCGGATGAGAAAAAAGCACCGGTCATTTCTTCTCTTGCAGTATGAGATGTCAGTTTTTTCTCCAAATTTCCCCTCGTCGAATGTAACAAGGGGGAGGTGCTTCTTGCGTCTGAACTCGTACGGGTAGGATTATCTGGCAACATTCTCATCGGCAGTTCAGCATCGTGACGTCCAGAATGAAAGATTGCCTCCAAAATTCGTCCTTGTCGATCAACTAGACTCAGTCGGATAGGGGGTTCCCCTCTCGGCTGTTATGGTATAAGCTAAAACCCGTGATCGAGGACATCAACGATTGGCCTCTAGTATATCTGTCCGCGCGTATACTCTTGAGAAGAAGGCTTCCCTTAGCTCAAAGAGCATGGTGGGTATCCGGTACATGCTCGTTGGAGCTGATATCAAGAAAGCTAATGACCCCGGCCAAGTACGGGCCATGTCGACCAACTAAAGTAGCCCGACATCGAATGCTAAGTGATGCTAAGGTACGGCATGACGACCATTGGTGCGAGCGACCTATGCAGCGTGCTCCCTTTGGATAGGTTCAACCAAATAAACGAACTATAATCCATCCTGGAGAACTGCGGGGAAGCATATATAGTGACGGGTATTTGACCTCACGTAGCCTCCACCTCCACCCCCGCATTGTAGCAACCGTCGTGCATATGAGCTGCATGTACTAATGGCCCCTTGGACCTGTTAGGTATATGCAGAGTCACCTAGCGCAGCAAATCAGCCGGGGTAGTTCGACTACAAGGCTGTGAGAGGCAACTTCCCGAGCCTCACCGAGAGGCCGCTTCTATGCGACATGACTTCTGACTGCTCTTCTGTCGTATAGGTCGACCAAGACCAAGATCAGACGGTTTGTACTACCAGAGACTTCCCAGGAGGGTGACGTAGGCTCAGCCTGGACTAAGCCTAGTGATGGACAACATGAATGGAGAGCCGAACCCGGTAACTCTAAGTGTGGTTAGATGAGCTTCGTAACCGCGCCGACGAATACCATCCCAGGGATTACTTTCCCATCCCGCTCGATCACATTCTCTCGGGGCGTGGGTAAGATGCGGAAGCGTTACATCGATAGATATCAGATGACCTTCGTTGTGAGTTGGCAAGCACATCGAATAGGTACCGGGAGAAGGGATATTGACGGGGATATAGATGATAATCAGGCTCCATGTGCATAATCTAGAAACTGCATCATTGGCGGCTTCCTTCGTGCGGTTTAGGAAGAGGGGGATACCTCGGGGTCTGCAGATTCACAGATTCCCCTCTTCTTTCTGATATTTGAAGATCGCGCTGGCCTAACCCTCGATGAAGCATAAGTAGACGATCAGCACCCCGCGAAGCAGTTTCACAACATGTTCTCCAAGATATTTGGCCGGGAGCAAAAGCAACAGCAAGAAGACATGAGTCCCTTACCTGAGGAGTTCGATATTATCGTGTGTGGTGGTGGGAGTTGCGGATGTGTAGTGGCTGGCCGGTACGTCCACCGTTCCCACAATTTGTCCTACCCATGATATCTCGTGCTCACTCTACGTAGTCTGGCCAATCTAGACCATAACCTCAAGGTGCTCCTGATCGAGGCTGGAGAGAGCAACCTCAACAATCCATGGGTCTTCAGACCGGGGGTCTACCCCCGGAACATGAAGCTGGACTCCAAGACGGCTTCTTTTTATGAATCCCGCCCATCAAAGTGGCTCTCCGGGAGAAAAGCAGTAGTTCCGTGTGCCCACATCTTGGGAGGTGGCTCGAGCATCAACTTTCTGGTAAGTCGACGGACTCAGGACTATTGCGAAGTCCTGAAAAGCTTAGACTTTCTAGATGTACACGCGTGCGTCAGCATCAGACTATGATGACTTCCAGTCAAAGGGGTGGACCACCAAGGAACTACTTCCCCTAATGAAGAAACACGAGACTTATCAGCGAGCTTGCCACAACAAGTTAGTTTCACTTCGCCATTAATTGGAGAATTAGCTAACCAATGAAGGGATCTCCATGGATTCGATGGACCAATTAAGGTATCCTTCGGAAACTAGTAAGTTGACCGTTAAATGGTATGGGCTTGTAGTGAATCCGATACTGACTACTATGAAGCACATATCCCGTCAAGGAAGACTTCCTAAGGGCGGCGGAATCTCAAGACATCCCCGTCGTCGATGACTTGCAGGATCTCAGTACTGGTCATGGTGCCGAACATTGGCTCAAGTGGATCAACCGTGATGTATGGCTCATTGCCCCTGAAGGACTTGGGATCTACAACTAACGAGTCCGATTGTAGACTGGCCGACGTAGCGACAGCGCTCACGCGTATGTCCACTCGACCCGTGCCGTTCATGATAATCTGTACCTTGCCTGCAACACCAAGGTAGACAAGATCATCATGGAAAACGGCCGAGCTGTGGCTGTCCAGACTGTTCCTACCAAACCGCTTCACCCTAACCAACTAAAGCCGCGCATCTTCAAAGCGCGCAAGCAAATCGTCGTTTCCGGAGGCACACTCTCATCTCCCCTGATCCTCCAGCGCTCTGGTATCGGTATGTGTTTTAAGCATCGAGCTGGAATGCAATAATTCTGGTATTGACATGTTCCAGGTGACCCCGAGAAGCTGAAAGCCGCCGGAGTTGAACCGATTGTCGACCTTCCAGGTGTAGGTCTTAACTTCCAGGACCATTATTTGACCTTCGCCACGTACCGCGCCAAGCCCGAGACAGAGAGTTTTGACGATTTCGTCCGGGGTGTACCCGAAGTGCAGAAGCGTAAGCATAACTGCCGCGCCAAATTTACTTTTAATTCCAGAGATGAGAATCTGACCAAGCCATAGGCGTATACGAGGAGTGGGCGCTCAAGGGAACCGGACCTCTCGCTACCAACGGCATCGATGCCGGAGTAAAGATCCGACCTACCGAAGAGGAGCTCAAGGAGTTCGAGTCGTGGCCCACGCCGCACTTCAACGAGGGCTGGAAGTCGTACTTCAAGGAGAAGCCCGACAAGCCGGTGATGCACTACTCCATCATCGCCGGCTGGTTCGGCGACCACATGCTCATGTAAGTGTCCCCCCTTCCCAAACTCATTCACCCACCCACTGCCCCAACTCAAGCACTCAACGCGCCGCGCAGGCCACCCGGCAACTTCTTCACCATGTTCCACTTCCTCGAGTACCCCTTCTCGCGGGGCTTCACGCACATCAAATCCGCGGACCCCTACGAGAGCCCGGACTTCGACCCGGGGTTCATGAACGACGAGCGGGACATGGCGCCGATGGTGTGGGGGTACATCAAGTCGCGGGAGACGGCGCGGCGGATGCAGGCGTACGCGGGCGAGGTGCAGGCCATGCACCCCTTCTTCGACTACGACTCGCCCGCGCGCGCCA